ATCACTATTCTTTGTTAATCATTGGTGCACACTGCTAGCAGAGCGGCCATGTTTACACTGTCACAGCATCAAGGAAAATGATGCGATCAAGGTTAAACATCGATCACGTGACCACAGTAGTACCAAATCTAACAATGCACGCGGAGGAGGCAGTGTGACAAACCTAAAGATGTGTTATGGAGAAAGTGCGGATAATTTCTGACTTACCCTCGTATTCTAGAACACTCGAATGGCGATATAAGAACGCTTCAAGCACCGATCGCTTTATTACCGTCAATAGTGCCCCCGGAACCCCTTAAAGAGGGCGAATGAATCCGATAACCCTTCTGATTATGGTGATAAAAGCAAACATGCCTATGTCTAGAATCGAACTGACGTCATTCATCTTAGATCGAGTAATTTTTTTGACTTAGGGGTATTAATTCACAGGACCAAATATATTTATACTTCCTCAGTTAGTTAATTTGTGGTGCAGTCATTGAAGCTACGTGTATGTTATTACTGATTAGCTTCTGGAAGGCTGGAAGTAGGGCTAGGAACCATGAAATGTTAACCGTTCGGAGTGCATCATCATCTTGATAAAGAAAGTATCGTGCCAGTGGACCTCGTTTTGAGGTAGTTCATTTCAACCCACAGGCCTGTATTCACATCAGGCTGATATGTGATCCTTTCAAATAAGCCCCCGTAACATGCCCTTAAAGTTTAGATCTATATGATTTGACCATGATATTTTTTTATTCATTATTGTATTTATCTGTGGTCTAGTGGTCAGATTCTTGGCTACAGATCCAGAGGTCTTGTGTTCGATTCCCGGCGTTACACATTTTCTGAGAAGTAGTGGGTCTGGAAGGGGGTCAACTCAGCCTCGTGAGGATAATTTCGGAGCTACTTGAATGGAAAAGTAGCGGCTTCGGTCTTGAAAATCGAAATTAACAGCGGTGGGATTTCGTTGAGCTGTCCACGCAACACCTCTATCCGTGAAAGCTGGCACCAGCGGCAGTCGCTCGGTCGGTATAGTTTCCTTGTGGACTAAAGCCACGGAATATTTTGTTTTTTCCTCTCTATATTTAACATCCTTGTCACTGACTTAGAATATATAGCAAGGAAGGTAATAAGTAATAAACCAGAGATGACAGAGAAGGAAGCGGCCTAGCCTATCCCGGAATTTTCGTGGAGGGACTGAGGGAAACACCGATAGACTTCAGTCATGACGGTCGGTAGCCGGCCGAGATTAGAACCGGAAAGCTGAGAAGCATTGCCGGTTGAGCTAACCTGCTTTGTTTCTTGATTTGTTATAACTGTAGGCACAAAGTGATTGTTACTATTCTGGTGGTGGTCACAGGGAACGTAGAGTAGCAGACTGCAGTGAATTTCCATGGCGTCAGTGTTTATGTTGACGCTTTCCTCGAAGCAGATTCCTTTATGTTTAATACATCCGTAAATATGGTGGAATTTTTTTCCGGCCAACAGTAGTAACGGCTCAAAAGCGGCTTACGCCTTGCGAGTCAGTTAGGCCACATCTGTACTACATGACAATGCTAATATAAAATCCAAATATAGACTTATTTAATTCTTCTTCTTCCTCTTCTCCTGTTCCTCCTTCTTCAGTTTCTTCTTTTTCATTGCTCACATTCCAGTTCGAATATTGGCTTACTTTACTGTAGACTTTTGCTTTACTTTTATTGAAATTAGAGCAAGCTGTGAAATTTAATGAATTTAATTAGACCATCAAAATATGAAGCCGACACAAGGAAATATCTGTGTTGAGTGGATTGAAAAACGAGCGCACAGTGGTAAAGCGACCCAAATGTTTGGCACATGGCTGCATTTCTAAGGGCATATTTACACAAATATATTATAACTAACTATTTTTTATTGCTAGTGGGGTGGGACTAAGTCTCTTGTACTGCGGCCACTTCTGGCCTATTGTACCAGCCCCAGATGATAGGTGAGGGTGATTGTGGAGAAAGTGGTGGAATGAAGATTGGCAAGGGAAACCGAAGTACTTGGAGAAAACCTGCCCCAGCGCCACTTTGTCCACCACAAATCCCACTTGACCAGACCCCAGGATCGAACCCGGACCGCCGCAGTGGAAAGCCAGGGACTAACCGCTTGAGCTATGGCGCGGTCAGCTAACTAACTAACTAACTAACTAACCAATCAATCAACTAGCACCCTGGGGCTCAATCCTTCTTGTAGAGCCGCCAGTCGCTTATGTTCTAAAAATATTCCCAAATTTTATGGACTCCCAAGGTTCATTACCGTGTTAACAAGAGCCCATCCTTTGGCTAATCACTTGTCCCCATCCTGAGCCAGACGATACGAATCCATACCTCGTCCTATTTCTTCAAGATCCACATTCATATTATTATCCCATCTCTGTCTAGGTCTTCTTTGTGGTCTCTTTCCTTGCTGGTTTAACGCCGAAATCCTAGATTTAATCAACTTCTCCTCAATGCGTGCTACATGCTCNATTAACAAGAGCCCATCCTTTAGCTAATCACTCGTCCCCATCCTGAGCCAGATGATACGAATCCATACCTTATCTTATTTCTTCAAGATCCACATTCATATTATTATTCCATCTCTGTCTAGGTCTTCCTAGTGGTCTCTTTCCTTGCAGGTTTAAGACCTAAATCCTAGATTTAATCAACTTCTCCTCAATGCGTGCTACATGCTCTCCACATGTCATCCACCTAGACCTTCTGAGAAGTTCCTGACTGTCCAATTTCCTCTAACCTTCGAGTATTCCATCCCTGTTAGGTCCAAGTATTCTCCTCAGCAGCACAAAGCTATCGGAACTGTACGTGCTGGGATGTCATTATGTAATGCGAACTGTGATCCTGCGTACGGTGCTTATTTAATTACTCAAACACAGAGAATACATAAACATGAAACCCAACGTAACCACACGCTGTGGGCTTGATGTGTTATGTGCTCGCCTTTTCCATAGGATTAAGCTTGTAATTTGTATGCACCTATTGATGTGTTTCCTAGCTGGTTTTCGGGTGTGTGTTCGGAACATATCAGAATGCAGATACAGGCGATATATCGGCATATCCACCATCATAACAAGAACCGAGTTGTAGGTATCTTCTGCTAGCGCTCTAGACTTTTGTTTCGGAGGTCCTGGGCTGGGACACCAGATAAATTGACTGCAGTTTTCATTGGCTTTAGTCGGTGCGCCATATGACAGATTGAGACAGCGTCGTTAAATAACCCACGAAAAACAGTTGATCTGTTGATATAAATTATCTCTAATTATTCATGTGTTTACATTAGCTATGATGATTACCTTATGTCAATGGCGAAGAATTATTTTTATTCATCTAGAAAAAAAATGTGTTCAATTCTTTTAGACATGTTAGTTTTGTAAAAGGCAATTACTTATACGTTTCAAGTTCATGAGCAAGAACCTTTTAAAAAAATGTTTAATTTTGTTGCATATTGTGTTTGATTTCCTGGCACCTACTTTACTGCGATAAGTTAACAAACTACAACGAGCACAGATTCTTGAGAATCTGACAGCCACTTAGGCTGGGGCCACACGAGCGCACAAAATGCGTCCGTTGCAACGAACGTCGTGACGTCCGTTTTAGAAATAAACAAGAGAGGCGAATGCTCCGCTTTCATGTGGTTCCATTGCAGACAAAAAAACTACGAGCCGCATTCTGCAACTGTGTGGTGTCCTCAGCAACGTCCGTCGTAAAGTACGTTCGTAACAACGGACGCACTTTGTGCGCTTGTGTGGCCCCAGCCTAAATCACAATCCTCTGTCACTGAATCTGTTCTGAACTACTTGAATCCAATTCACATTTTCACACCCTACATCTGTACGATCCATTGCAGTGTAGTATCATATTAGACGAGTTTGTGTATACAAAATAGTTTATTTTCATTTCCTTCCCACTAATACGCGTAAGCATATCCCATACGAATTTATAATCTCTTCATATTACGTCTTGGGCCAGTTCTTTATGGAACAAACTGACTAATATGACGCCCCCATAAATAAAGCTCTGCAGTATATTGAAAGCGTAGGATTAATAAAGGGGAAACAAAACAGATCATTATTGGGCGCGGTACAGAGGCCGGATTGTGGGCCCCCATCATACATATATACATATGTACATACATACATTGCATACTACGCGACCTATCAATTTAATCCTCTTATGAAAAGTTCTGTCTTCTGGGAAATAACGCCGTACAGTCCGTTTGAAATCAACGGACTTTCCGTAGCAACACGTGCCTCCATCATCAGGACCAAAGTATAGACCAAGAAAGAAACCAGCGTGGAGCAAGTTGGAGGCCGAGCCTCGTGATCCTCTTCAGTTTAATGACAATTATAACATTTGTTCGGGAGTACAAGTTATGAAACTCCTCAGACCCGGAAGCGTTTATTTCTGACTGCGTTATAGAGAAATGTCTGTGAATACATTATAATCATCAGCTGTGTGAATCTCTTGGGAAGATATTCGACTCGGATGGGTAGCAATGTTGAAGGCTACGTTCGAATCAGTGGACAGACGGAGCTGCTAGGACATGTTGTCCACACCCAATATAGTGTTGGTAATACTAAGTCTGTGTGAAATTTACCTAAGCGACTTTTGAAGTAAAACAAATCCTATGGTGCCTACTGTTCTTCGTGTTTAGACTGCACTTTTGGGCTATTATCTGGTACGTGGGCCTGTTGTTCCAGCAGCAGCAGCTTCTGGAAGCCGTCTAGTGTTGTGTTTGGGTCTGCCGCGCGCCCTCCCCGTCATCTTCAGTGGCCGCGGCATCTCTGTTTGAGGACCCTCCTCTCTCTTTACCCCCCTCGCAACTCAAGTGGCCGTCTTCAAACATTGCGAAGCTGCTGCGTCTCTTCCTTGAGCGAGTAAATTTCTGGATGGGTGGGTGGCCCTTGTTGACCAAGGATACAACAAGGGAGAATGGTTGTTGAAGAGAGGAAAACCGCCCTTTATTTAAACCTTACGCATTTCGTCTTGTTTTTCCAGGTTTCACAATCCATCTCCGACACCGAGACATACATACATAGCCGATCAATTGAATAAACCACGCTTCTTGCAGACAGAAACGCCGAACAAGTAAGTGCATCTTGTGGAGGTCTAATTTCAGATAATAATAATTATTGTTACAAGTTTCCTGGTTTTAACTCTTCACCAGATATTATTAAGACGATCACATCGAGAAGGCTGACAATGGTGATATCATGTAGGTTAACAAGCTGAAGATAATTAGGAATTAGTGTAAAATTATATTCAGAAAAACTGAAGTGAAGGGACAGCTCTGGATAACAGGACAATGGGGAAAGGACAACATTAAATTGAACAATAAGGACGTAGGAAAGGGGGAATAAACGGGTCTCAGTCTCTGCTGGAGACTGCAAGGAATTCCTTTCCCTTCTCGCTTCCACTTTAGAGCATAGGACTGATTTCTCAGTTTCACTGTCCATTTTCACAGATGGTAAGACTCCCTGGACGGGTGATCAGCTCGTCGGAAAGCCTCTAACTAAACTCAGGACAACACATACACAGAATAAACGCATACACACACAACACCTCTATGCCTTGTGTGGAATTCGAACCTACGATCCCGGCTTCCGAGCGAGCGAAGGCATCACATGCCTTAGTTCGCTCCACTTTAGTGACCGGCTGTAAGGAAACTTAGGGTTCTGTAAAGGTCTGGAAATTTCTTTACCTGCTCAGCTGATCTGCTTAGCAAAGATGACTTTATGGTGTTAGGACCCTGCGGCAGATTGATAGGACATCTGATGTTCCAGTAGAGATTATTACTGTGTTCTGTTTTTGTAGGAACCACTAAAATCCATTAACAAATTCTTTTAGACAATTTGGACTTGAGATTCTCACAGTGGTTACTGTGAAGATTGCCATCTGCTGGGAAGTAATGCTATGTAGTCCAGCAGAAAGTCACCTACGCTTCGGAGCAATATACTAGCCTCACCTTCAGCGTTGAAGAGTAAGCCAACAAAGAATCGAATGAGGAACAGACGGCAAACAAAGTTTGGTTTAATCTCCGTCCCAGAATATGAATGCAGTTTTTTCTTCCTAAAAGTCGGTGAATATCTGTCGGACTATATGTTTTACATCCCAGAAGATATTACTATACACGTATATGTACTTCGTTCATGTAACCATGGAGAGGATAAGGCGTTTCGCGCACAGGGAAAGCTCTTAAGATTTAAGTCGACTCTAAAAGTCCATTTCTAAATTACAAAAATAAAGTTGTTCCTTTGCTTAACTAATTAAGAATTATGAGTTGAAAACGTATGGAGGAGTGGAGGCATAGGTCCACCATTCTTATCCTCTACACTAAATGGAGGTGAGTGGTCAGTTTCAAGTCAAAGTTACTTTATTCTCCCCCCACGGGGAAAGAGCCCCTATACCCACTGGATAGGAGACTGAATGGGCCCCAGAAGATGTCTGGACGCTGTGGAGTAGAGTAAAATAGGCGGACCTAAAACTCAGTCATAATGTCGGATGTCCTGAGTGAGATCGAACCGAGGAGCTCTCAAGCAAATTTGTAGAGCGTCGCCGCTACATCAGCCATCGGTATCCATTTGTACAAAGTTAAACTATATAATAACAAAATAAATGTTAATAGTGCTATTTACTTTATTCTGGGCTTATATTATTCTATATGACTTTGTTTGTTGCTCCGTATGCACCCAACCTCTCCGCTCAGATGTTGCCATGTGCGTCTCAACATGTATCTTATTTTCGCATCGTATTTTCTGCCTAAGTAACATTCCAAAATGTCAGGGGTTGAGAGCAGGCACAACTGTTGAACAGACGTTCCATCTAGTTCCTCCAGCTTTACCAAGAACGTGAAAGAGAGACTGCTAATGTAAGTGCGGCTGTGGGCACAGAAACACAGAAGTGACAGGTTCGCTTTTCTTAGCAAGAAAACGAGCAGTTTCGGAGAGAACTCATAGAGCTTGGGGGCACGCGGTAGCATAGTGGTTGAGGGGCTATGCTACAAGCCGGAAGATCACGGGTTCAAGTCCCGATGAGGTTATCGGACCGCACTAGGCCCTGGGGTTTACTCAGCCTCTAACAGAAATGAGTACCAGGAATTAAATAAATAATTTTCCTGAGGAGTAAAGCGCGGACGGTGCGTAAGGCTGACAAACTTACCGCCATCTTTGAGCCGATTGTCAAGGTAATGTGGGAATCTCAACGTCTCACAACCCTATGGCCTTCACGGCCTGGTACATGGATAGCTTTACTTACTTTTTTACTTTACTCATAGAGCTTAATATCTTGTTGCATAAATCCGTACTTCTGCAGATCTGTATTATTATTTCTATCTGGTATATTAAGAGCCGGGGTAGCGCAGTCGATAAAGCGACTGATTACAGGATGGGCAACCGAGGGTTCGGAGTTCCACTCCCGGTAGGATCAAGAATTTTTTCTTCTCCACGCCATCCAGACCGGCTCTGGGGCTCAACCAACCTCCTATCCAATGGGTATCAGAGACTCTTTCCTCGGGGATAAAGTGGCCGGAACGTGATGCTGACGACTCACCTCCAGCTAGTGCCGAGGTCAGGAAAACTTAGATCTATGCATCCATTCAAACACACATCTTCATGGCGTTGTGCTTAATTAGTTAAGCACAAGGACAACTTTACCTTTATTAGGTATATAATAGATTTAATTTATTTTTATGAAGACATCATTATTTATGTACAAATTCTCTCTGTATTACAACAATGTATTTTTCTTTAGGCTAAAATATACAGCCATTATGTTTTTCCTTCTTTCCAAAAATTTGCTTAAATTTCCATGTTTTTGTTTTGAACTACAAGCTCGGACGACATGTTATTCCTACTATTGAAGAGTTGAAACTAAAACAGCATATGCAATACACTCCGATGATGTCATGTTCTTCCCAGCTTTGGGAGAATCGTTCTCTGTCTGTAAGGATGGTCCTTGTAAGTGAATTAGGAAAAACATACCGAGTTATTTCAGAGATGTAGGAAACTGAATGAGGTATGTAATTAATTAATTAACTCCTCCTTAAAACGCTAACACTCGCTTATCTAGTCAATAAATTTACCTTCTTCTGTTACGCAACGCGAAGGTATATTACCGTGTTCACGAGTCACAATCACTGATCCCTGTCTTCGCCATCACATTCCAGTCATCAGTTTCAGGTTCACTTTAATATTATTTTCCCGTGCAAACCTACACTTAGGATGAATGAATGAATGAATGTACAAGGGGTGAGCGCTCTTGGCTCTTGCACCGCGACCACAGTGACCTATTGTACTTCCCCTTTTGATTATCCCCTTAGAAATTCTGCACTTCGAATGAAGCGCAGGATTTTGTACGTGGGGACGTCAAAATAGTCACAAGTTTCCATAAAATATTGACCCAAGTGACGTAATCTTAAGTAAGCTGAGGCCTAACATTTACACACGATATGTGTGGCTGTTTCATTTTCTTCTTGACACCTTTCACAAGTGGGAATATTACTTTTGTATTTATTTTTTATTGCTAGTGGGGTGGGACTAAGTCCCTTGTACTGCGCCCACTTCTGGCCTATTGTACCAACCCCAGATGATAGGCGAGGCTAATTGTGGAGCAATTGGTCGAATGAATGGCAGGGGAAACTGAAGTACTCGGAGAAAACGTGCCCCAGCGCCACTTTGTCCACCACAAATCCCACTTGACCAGACCCGCTTGAGCTATGGCGCGGCCTGGACTCTTACTTAGTCCCAGTTTGAAGACATGTCCTTTGAGGTGACAGTATCCTGTAAGTAGCTCTACCACCCATCGTAGCTGGTTCCTGTTTAACCTCAACAGTTCCTTCGCTCTTTTAGTAGAGGGTCCTCGTATGAGTCCCTTTGCTTGCCTGAGTCCAGTCAAGGATTCATATTTGTCCAGTCCCTGATTGGCTTTCTGGCAACTCATATAGATATGCCACAGGCTGGTTCAGGTCATATGGACGGATGTTCAGTTCCAATCTTGGCCAATTGATCTGCTGTATCGTTTCCAGCAATACCCTCATGCCCCGGCACCAATATCAGTTGTACCCTGTTATGTTTGGCCAGTTCCATGAGGATTTGGTGGCAATCCCAGACAAATTTTGAGTCGATCTGGTGTTTGTCAAGCGCTTTAAGAACAGCTAGGCTGCCAGATAGAATGTAGATGTTCCTATTTCTGTAGTTCCTATCTAGATTGTCCATTATACAAGGATTGGATAAAAAGTAGTGGCAGCACTGCTGTAACATGAAAGATGTGCGTCAGGTGGCACTAACGCCGTCTGTAGCTGATAGCAGAAGTTCAGTTGAAGTAGTGCAGTGAGTGGCTTTGGATGTGTTTCATTGATTTGCATTGTGCATCGTCTTGAATTGCAGGAGCCCAGTTCAAACGCCCTAAGAATATGTTTACGAAACAAGAAAAACGCTCCTGGACAAAAATTGAAGTTGCAGAAGGTCGTAGTGCACAAAACTGTTATCAGGGACTAGGAGAAGCATGTGGTGATGCTGCTTTGCCATATCGCTCAGTGGCACGATGGGTGAAATTGCTCCGTGAAGGGAGGGATGCCGTTCAGGACGACCACATGTTGACAACCACACAATTCAGCTTCTTGCTTCTTTGCTGGATGTCGATCGTCGATGGGCTGCGCGGGAGTTAGCTGCTGAGGTAGACGTATGTCACAAAACCGTGCTCCACATTCTGCACGATATTCCTGGTTACTACAAAACTGCAGCACGTTGGGTGCCCCATACAGTGTCCGAGGTGCAACAATGGCAACGTTTTGCAATTGCACAGGACTTGTTGGACCGGTACCAGAAGGAAGGTGACGACTTCCTTGGATGGATCGTCACTCTGGACGAAACTTGGGTTCGCTCATACAAACCGCACTTGAAGCGACAATCAAATGAATGGAAGCATCCTGGCTCTCCTCGTCCAAAGAAAGTGCGCCCTACACAGAGTAATGTGAAGGCGATGTTCATTGTGACATATGGCACTGGTGGAGTGATACTGCACCACTGTACCTCAACGACAGACAGTAAACGCTGCGTACTACTGCAATTTCCTGCATAATCATCTTCGTC